TATATATTATATATATATATATATATATATATATAATTGTTATTATATTGACCTACCAACTGTGCCTGGTTAACAAGACAGAAGTTACAATTATGCAGTGCAAGTGCACTCATGTTACCTTATCCAATAATATATATAACTGACCTTTTGTCTTTACAAAGTAACCTGTCTTGGCTGTGTTTTAGTGAACTAGTATTTTGTAAAATACAGTCACATTTCAACTATTATGCATTATATATTTATATACATTATTTCTATTTACAACAGAAATAAAAAAGATAAAACATTCATATTTTATAATATAGCTTGTCAGTATCGGTAGTTTGAGTTCCTAATTCATACAAAACTTTATATTTTGTATTTTGACATCACAGAAATCTAATTTCAACCAGTGCTGATTTCAACATACGATGTGACATACAAAAATCAATGTTTAGCTGTGTTTTTTTAATATTTACTTTTAAATTAAGAAATTAACTAATGCATAATACTAAAATTTGAATTATAATCTACAATTTGATACAAAAACTTATTGATTCATAAAATAGTAGTTCAATGAAATTTTGAATGTAAGTCAACAAATGCAATGACATGGTCTTTGACACATGACCCATCGAGATAGGGTTAATAAGCATGTCATTTCCATCACCATGACATATAATGCAAGCAAAATAAACAATAGGAGATGTTCTCTTAAGTCTGGCAATGAGATCCATTGTCTCATTTCCTTTAAAGAAAATTCATTACTTAGGTTTTTGAATTCAGAAAGTCACAGGGTTATTACTCCTATTCTCAATCCAAGACTGGTTGATTATTTTGGATCACCTATTATACTACTCTACTTGGGTTTTGATTTCACTATTCTTGTATTTGGTTGCATTAGGCTGACTTCTCTGCTACTCTATTTCAGTCTTTGGTCATCTACTACACTATTCTACTCATGCATACTGCAATTATAACTCAAAATTATCAATCTTATAAAAAGTGTATACATCATGAGAAATAACCTTGATCTCAAACAGTTAATCCTACTTATTCCTGTTTTGCTTTAATAGATTCCTAGATGCCTAAAAATCAGACTAGTGCTTTATGTTGTAATTCTTAGTTGGAACAGAAGTTATAGTATTTTCAATTTTATTTGACAACCGTTTAGGAGGTGGGCATTGTCATTGACTAGACTGTATCTAGGGTTATTTGTGCCAGCTTCAATACGACAGAGTTTTAGAATGTGGTCTCTATAATGTATGCCATTAACAGTACCATTGTGCAGGATGTTAAGTGAGTTTGTCCACCATTGCTTAAAGCTGTTCATACCATATTACCACCATCACCCCCACACACATCATGTTCTACTAAGAAAATGAGACTGGAGTTGGTTCCAAGTGATTTACAAATTATTATATGGCTTTTAATTGGTGCAAAGTGGAGCATGACTCATCTGTAGAAAAAAAAAAAATACTATTCCAACATAGCATTGGACAGATGGAAATGTTCATGGCACCACTGTAGTTAAATAGCCTTGTGCCTTGGTAAGTGGAATATATCTCATTAAGCATCTATTTCTAATCATTTTTATATTGACTCAGCATAGAGCTGTGGCTGTAAACATATCATTCACTATTACAGCAAGTTTTCTACTCAGAATTGACTAATAGCTATCACCTGCTCATGTTGTGGATAATGGTCTGCCTTATCCAGGTATGAGAACATCAGTATCATTGGTGTGGAAATGATTCAACGATCTGATAACAAAACTTCGAGACACCTATGAGAAATTCATAATAGTATACTTCTAGTTGTCCAATGATTTTACACATCCAAGCATTTACTTTGAAATCTAGCCACGGTTCTTGAATAATCTGAAGTGCTTAAAATTCTACAATGCATTTCAAATTAATAATACAAAACTTTATATAAAATCACTATATAAAGTACAGACTGAATTATCAATCATACGCACTGCATATCATATGATGTTTGATTAATGACCAATTTGCATTTAACTAACCTCTGTCATTTAACAAAACACATGGAGCATGCAACAAGAAATAAAGTTAAATCTTCTGTAAAATCCAAAAATGAAACAGAATAAGCCTTGAGAAAATTCAATAACAATAATAAACCTTAGAAAGGAAAATTACAACTATCGTAAATATGCAAATAAAGTAAACAAATTTAAAAGGTAAGTTACACTCAGGAAGCATTTGTTATAATATCCTTATTTTGGTTGAGAAATAACTTAAAATGCAATAAATCACATTTTTAAATCGGACAAACATATGTACCTTTCCTCGCGAAGTGCCTGATAAAAGAGATGAACTTGTATAACTGGTTCACTGAAAAATATTTCACCATTGTTAATTAATAATAAAAACATCAATTACAATAATACAGCATAATTTTAGGGTCGGGAAATTTGCAACTTGTTTTACTTATGGAAAAACTAAAGGGTTCAACAAATATTAAATTTATGAAGAAACGAAAATCCTTCTAATTTGGTGTAAAATCTATCAATATTTTTTCTCAAATTGCAAGTAGTTTCCCCAATTGTTGCTATTTGTAAAACAAACAACTTTTTTCTTAGAAGCATTTTTTTTCTTCTTTTTACAGCAAAGTTGCTTTTTGTTTAGATAAAGGTTGAACTGGAAGGGAAATTGATAATTCTCTGTACAGATAACAATGTACTATAATACATAATTTGATAGACAAAAACCTTGGCTTTCTACTGGTTATAAATACTATAGTATTAAATGTCAGAGAGAACTATCGGCAGTTTCTGAAAGAAAGAATGTGACAGGCGAGCATGGCAGGAGGGGTCTGATTATCTATTTTATGACTTTGTAACCAAATAAGATTGAAGGCTATAAATTTTGCACTGCCTGAGTGATAAAGATATTATAAAATAAGCAATTTACAATACATTTCATACTTTTTGGATAGGTGATAAATAAATTAGAGAAGAGAGGATACCTAGAGAGAAAATATCACAATTCTTACACTATGAGAAATTCTAATTTTTTTTTATTTAAATATTGCCTTATAAAAGTAAAAATTTGTATACTATTAAAATATGGATCTTTAGCTATGTTTTTATGCTATATATATTACTGGTGTACCATGAAATGAATGTAGTTTGATTAAATTTTGAATGTCACTCACTAAAACCTTGTGACATGCACAGAAAAACATACCTGGGGCAAGAGGGCGTCTGGTGAATTTGACCAGTTAGATTTGAAAATAAAATCAAACAGGTACAGTATAATCAGCAGTGAAAAGATGGCCTTGATGAAACTGCGATAGAAACCTGGGTACAAGGTTGTTTATTCCTACTCCAGTCCCTACGGTACCATTCACAATGTCTTCCTGAATTACCAATTTCACTGTTCGATATGCTAATTTAAAATGTTCTAACAATTCGGCAATACATAAACACTCATAAAAGTTCAACCCAGGATTGTGTTATGAAGAAAATACACGCACTAAAGTTAGTGACAGTTCAAAAACGGGTTAATAAAAATATTGCAAAAAAATGGTAGCATTTGGTTAGGCTATGATACTGAAAAGGATGGACACGTGGAAAGGCTGTATTGCAAGTTATGTCAAAAGTATGAATAGCAAATCTGCATTTTAAAATACTTTTTGAATGTCTAGATAACTGGTAATGAGAACTTGAAGTTACCCAACTCAAAAGACCATTCTAATACAGAGCTTTAATAATAATACCTTTGAGCTTTCCTGCTAATGATGAGTTTAGATCAGGAGAATAAGTACATTTACCAGAAAAACTAATACCTGATACAAAACAACAAACTGTTGTCAAGAGATTTGTTCGTTTTACAGATGTACAACAAAAACAGCTGGAAAAAAAGGTCTGATGGTGCATATTTCTTTACTTAAAAGACATCAAGAAAGATGCAACAGGAATTGAATCAGCTATTTAATCTCTAGGCACAACAGAAAATCAGCTTTATTAAAAACTTGTTGGATTTGGTGCAGATGGAACCTCAGTAAATAGTGGGGATAAAAGTGGTGTGAAGGATTTGGTCCAAGAGAAATCACCATGGTTAATTTTTCAATGATGTGTGGCTCATAAATTAGAGCTGGCCATGAAGGATGCTCTTCAGCCAACACATTTCAGGCAAGTGGATGACATGCTCATGAGACTATACTATATCTATCATAAATCTCCTAAGACATTGCATGAACTAAAGTGAATTTGCAAACTTGTGAAGAGTACATTTGAATTTGTGGAAGGATTAGTAAAACCAAAAAAAGCATGTGATACATGATGGATTTCAAACTGGCAGCTCTGAGATTAGTGCTGGATAAATCTAACGTTTAAACGATGCATTTGGAAAATTTGGCTGCTCAGAGATGTAATGATGAAATTGCTGGGTATTTAAAAAAGTTGAAAATCAGTCACATGTTGTTGCACTTTTCACTGATGTGTTAAGTCTTGTTGCAGAACTATCAAACGTTTTTCAGGAAGAAGGAATTGATATTGTGAGTGCTATTAGTGCTTTAGAAAAAAGCAAAATGTAAATTTCAAACACTCAGTAGAGTGAAGTTACAAAATCTTCCAGCCACAAAGTATTTGTTGAGCAAAATGGAATTCACACATACCAAGGTGTTCATTTCAACTCTAACCAGTTTGACAAAAAACTGGAATTATTGGAATCAAAGAAGAATGGAATAACTAAGTCTGTTTCCTCTTGCATATCTTCCCATTTGGATGACTGGAAGTTCTTTGTTAGAGAAAATTGCTCTCATATTGAACACTGAATCATGGGTAGCTAGAGCTGAATTTCCCCTGGCACATGAAAACAGAAAAGAGCCTGTATCTTCCACCAAATTAAATGAATTTTGTGATACTGAAATAACTGAATTGTTTAAACATTTTCACACCATCTTATGTAATGCTGGCATCAAATGCACCTGTATTGAAGATACTGATGAATGTATACCCAAAGCATCAATTACCTACAACCTGGTAAATATAACTATAAGAAAACCTGAAGATTTCTTTTTCAGTCCTCCTACACAGAAACAAAATGGAAGAACATCCTAACATTAACTGACTTTCTATTTTCTGTTCCAGTCACAAATACATAACTAGAAAGAATGTTTTCAAAATTACATCAAACAAAACTTGATTCTAGGTGTTCAGTAGGTGAGAAAAGACTATCCCATTTACTTAGAATCACAGAAGGTCCTTCACTTAGTTCCTCTGATGTGACCCCAATAATTAAGCTATGAAGTAAAAGAAAAGTTATGAGACCCAATCAAAAGAAAGGGAAGAAATACAAAAAAGCAGAAACAAAGATAAAAAAATCCCATAAAGATAATTACAAAGAGCTTTTGTTAATAGGCAGTCGTAGCACAGAAGGTGACAGAGCTGATGAAGATGTGAACATCAGATGATCTAATGAAGATTACCAGTCTTGAAGTTCTGGATCTGAGGCTGAGGTGCAGTAAGAGAGTAATGATGGTTTACACTGGTGTATTGAAAATGTCCTTTTTAGCGACATTGGTTCAGAGACATTAGAATTTTTTGGCTTTTAAACTCTGTACCATCTAGGTCACTCCAATTTACTGGTGTGTTTTACAGACCTTTTTAATGTTATTATTTACAGGTTTTATGAGCATTATGAAAATAAAACAAAAGAACAAATTAATTTTATCACATGTCTTCCTTGACTGTTTACAGTAGCATAATCACACATATTAAAATGCACGTGACAATCGCTGACTGCATCAGCCATGCAATACAAAGTGTATCAGGCACAAAATAGTTGGTGCCTAACATTTTGTCGGGCACTGGACAAAAAGTTATTTTCAGGCTTGGGACAACATACAGATTTCAGCTTGTCCCAATTTATGTTTATAGGTTTCACTTCTACATTTACTTTGCAGAACATACTTTTTGCTGTTTCTAGAGCTCACAGTGTTACTAACACAATTTACACACTGGTTATAGTTTCACTTCTATGGTTAGTACTCCTACAGTTGATGATGTTTCTATAAACAGATAGTTCAAAATGAGCTCCTCATAGGGTGTCTCAACATGTGATTACATTATAAAACATTGTAGTCTAGATTTAATTATATGTCCTATAAAGTTACATGTAACACCATTATTTTAACAAGACAACTATTATAACATAGTGTATTACATATGTCAGTTTTATCACACGTACTATCTTAACTTATCAATTATATGAATGAGGCAAATATTATAGCCAATAATTTACTTTACATAATTTTACAATTATCTGCCCTGAAAGGATTTTATCATATCTAATGTTTCATATTTTAAAATATCGAATGAGACAATTACATTATTATTCTACAGCCAAATATGATTTTTTTTATGATTTGGTACACATTTAACATACTGTAGTACAGTTTTTGCTCCTATATTTAATCTGCATAACATACTTTTTACAATTATCATCCTGGAAAGGACACTTATTTTAATCTCTAAATAACATACAATAACTTCATGCTTAGCTTTATAAGTTGATTTGTTCCGCTAAAGTTTAAAGGATACATGTACACAGTTATGTTTAATAATTACTATTCTAAGATTTTTCTAGATATTTTCCCAAATCTGTGACTACAGCTTGTTTCTTGCTGGCTTGGAATTTTATGTATAAAACTTTGTGGTTTTAGAGTACCACTTATAAATAAACTTTATTAATTCGTAAATCAAAACGTCTGCAACGATTATCTTC